CCCCCCACAGGGCACCATCAAGTTAGAGTTCCCGCGCATCCATGTGGATTTCCCCGTCGTGCTGTGTGAGGTCTGACCCTGGCTGCCGCCCTCGCCTGCCATGTGGTGCCCCTCCCCCACCCACGCTGTGCTCCCAGGACGTGGAGCGAGAGGAGAGTCACGGGGGAGGGGGGGACACGGACTGCGTGACGCCGGGTACAATGGAGACGCCATGTTGGACAGAATGGCTGCCGCTGTGGATCTTTATTTCCTGTATCCGGAATCGGTCACCTGACCACATCCCGAGCTCCTCCTTCCGCTTTACTATGTTCCGTAGCCGCCATCATGATGGGCTGCGACACGGGGCGGGGGCCCCGGGCCCCTCGAGGGGGGATGTCAGTCACCACGCGAGCCCGGACTCCGTGTATTTATATTCCGGCGTCACGACGCGCTGGGTTGTGTCTGCACCACGCGATCTGCGATTGGACGGCGCCGCAGACGGACAATGTGACGGATCTCTACGCCGATCACAGGCGTGTCTTCCCGTGTACCAGAGATGACCTTCATTGTATGTTAGCGGAAGGCCGGAGGGGGGGATCACTATGGAGCAGAAGGCCGGAGGGGGGGATCACTATGGAGCAGAAGGCCGGAGGGGGGGATCACTATGGAGCGGAAGGCTGGTCTGAACAGTTATTGCCGTGTACGGTGAGGAGGATGGTGATTGGCTCGCGGCAGATATAATTTGTATCCTCGGAGAGGTCACATGACACAAATGTTATAAATGGAGTAAAATAAGTATTTGAACCCCTACCAACCAACAATGATTCTGGCTCCTCCCACAGACTGGCTCCTCCCACAGACTGGCCATGTGGTAGACAGAGGAGTCCTGTCCCTTTAAGAAGGTGTTCCTAACGTCACCTGACCACAGAATCTCTTTCCTCCATCACCCCTCCCCCACCATGGGAGGACCAGAGAGCTGTCAGAGGAGGTCGGGGAGAAGGAATACAAAATACCCACCAATGGCCCTCCATGGAGGATGTCGCCTCATAGGGTGAGGATGAGGGATCCGCCCAGAACTACACAGGGGGAGGAGCTTGTGAATGATCTCGGGGCAGTTGGGACCAGAGTCACCAAACACACCATTGGTGACACAATACCCCGCCATGGACTGAGATCCTGCAAGGTCCGCCCCCATAGGAAGGCCCATGTACAGGCCCGTCTGAGGGGGAGGACGGAGGTCAGATAGAAGACTGAAGGGAAGGACGGAGGTCAGATAGAAGACTGAAGGGGAGGACGGAGGTCAGATAGAAGAGTGAAGGGAAGGACGGAGGTCAGATAGAAGACTGAAGGGGAGGACGGAGGTCAGATAGAAGAGTGAAGGGAAGGAGGGAGGTCAGATAGAAGACTGAAGGG